GTTACTCTGTTAGGTACTAATGAAATGATTGCCGCCATATATATATATATGGTATATATGTACACCATATATACATAATAATATACAGAGTATCCTTATTGACAGAAATAGATAAAATTGTTCAACCAAGATTATTAAAAGAGACTCTAAAGTTTTCATAAATTAATATGTTAATTGTTCTATAATGGATGGATGGAGTGTCATAAGATGTATATCTTATATTAAAAAAAATATTCACTCGGCCTTTTTACAATTATAAATATATATACAAATTGTAAGCAGTAGCTTAATAATTAACAAGATATCTGAGAACACTGTAAATTAACACAACAATTACGGTTTTAAATTATTTAATTTGTAATTACGAGTCATGAGCGAAATAAGCTTTAAATATTTCATTCAAAATGGACGTCGCTTGGGTCATATTTTCGTATTGTCATCGCCGAATTGAATTTCCTACAATTCCGCTTTATTCCCCATCCAACTTGCCGCTATAACTTTTTATTACCGCCATTTTTGTTGTCAATGACTCACAGTTGCTTTCGAGAACACAATTCTATAAAAAACTACAGGCACCAGAAAAAAAAGGTAGTTCAAGACAATTACAATAATATGCAACTAGTAATAAACAACTAATAATTAACATTATCAATATAAAGAAAATAAATATATATACACTACATGAAAAATATAAAAAAAAACAATGAAAGGTAATTTCTATTTTCAGAATTAGTATATAGCATACGCAAAATTCTTATCATTTTTGCATTTTACTCTACTATTGTAGCAGCAACCAACATTCAGTATTTGAACATAGGGCACGATTTACGGATTATTACACGGATCTAGATGCAATTCAACCAATAGTAAATATACATCGTACATAAATACAATGTACCACCACTATATACTATATTAACATTCACAGATCGTTATAGCAGACGTAGATACGTAATAAAGAAAGTCGAGTATATCTATGACGGAGAAGGAAAACTTGAAAGCATACCAATCTTAAGCCCTCTGCCAGACAGTAACTTTAATTTTATATTATTTCTTTAATTACTTATGTGCTGTATTCGAATAACGTAATTTCTCGCGATGAAGGTGTAGGAATACTACCATCACTGTTTTATTTAACCAGGCTATCATAAAATAAAGAAAATTTAACAATAGCAGTAAAATCCCTGTCTATCACAGTAAATTACGTTATTACAGTTTACATATTCTGCATTATATCTTGTTGACCAAAAATATAATGAAATTATATCATATATATTTTTACTTCCCTATGGTTGATTTTCCATCCTGCTATTACAGTAACGTATTCTATTTGAAGGATCGTACTTATATAAAAAAATTGTTTTATGAGGGTCGGCTTCCACTGACGACGGGTACAAATGCTTGAGAGAACCCCGAAAAGCAGGAAATGAGATATGCATAAAAGATAACGCGACATAAATATGGGGTAACACAGAGTTCTGTAATACGACCAAATATCACACCGGGAATTGCTAGTATTCGTAACCCCGGTAAAAACATGATGTATTAAATTTTGAAAATATAGGTACCTGCCTATTACAGTCATTTCTGTCGTTTCAACGTTATATTACCAGACTGTAATAAGTAATGATATTTTGTGGACTGTTAGCCGTAAGTGAAATACAAATTCTACTTTGAAGGTTTGAGTGTTGATTTATGCTAAAAGTACCCTGTTATTTATGTATTGAAATAGCTGGAAATATATATTATAGTTTAGAGTATCTACGCAAGATGACATAAAAATATTTTACATTATAATATTATATATATTAAAACAAAAAATATAGTTTTTTGTCGATTTACTAGTAGAAGTAGGCTTAGTGTAAAGTCTTTCTTTAATTTTAAGCCAATATTTTACACATTACGACATGCTTTGTAAGATATATTTTAGTTGAAGAGTGAAAAAAAAAAGATAAAATAAAATAATCAAACGTACCTATTGTAATCGCACTCAATTGTTGTTCTTGGCATAACTGACAATGAAAATAATAATGTAACCTCTTTACTATTTTTGCATCGATAATACAATATTTACGTACAACTTCCTTCAATCTCCCAAATATACTCTGTTAAGTCTCATTTTGCATACATAAAATATATCTCATTATAGCGTTTTATCGTTTTAGCCACCAGTTTTGTAATTCATAAAATTCGTAATGCGTCGCAATAAACTGGAAACATCAATAAAATGCATGACCGCATATCCTCATAGCGTTTACGGTATTTTAAAGGTCCATAAGAGAAAACCGTAGTAACCGCAATAGACATTTCGCCTATCAGACGATGATATAAACGATCTAATAAGCTCTCAACATCGTTTTAATGAAGATGAAGCGGTAAAGTTTCATGAGCAGCTATTGGCAAAGTTAGAACTCCTGTAAAAGAGACAACTCCATAAGAAAAATGTTATTATGGCGCGGTTTTAATAAAATTTCGCTAACATTTCTTAGAAACATTATAACGTCGAAGTATCGGATTTAAATTTTGTGTACTTTAATTAAGAATGTCTATTTTTAACGTAGCTCTCTCTATATTTTTTTATCTTGTTTTCTATATTTAGCAGCGCCTTTTATAACTTAATGTCCTATATATCTATTTCGTTGCATATGGATGTACTTACATATATAATAATATGCTAATTATTGTACTATGTATCTTTGAAAAAATAAATAAAATGAATACGTAATCATCATTAAATTTTTGTCCTGCCATATGGTGGCAAATAGTATTTAGTTTATTATGCGGAATGAAGAACAGTTTACCATCTTTTACATATTGTTATTATTATAACGTAAAATAAATAAACAAAAGTCTAAATTTTGATAGTATTTTATATTTACTTATTTAAAAGTAACATAATAAGTTTAAAGAAATTATAAACGTGTATTGCTATTATTTACATCATAATTATTTGATAGAGACGTGTTTGAACTTAATTAATTGCCAGTCATAAAAAATTTGTTTGTATCCTTGTACGATTTTGGAATCGTTCAACATCCGTTGCGAGTTTATATTGCATTCTACTGCAAATATTTCACCTCTCTGCATTTTATTTTTCAGCTTGATATTTCAAGGTTTCAGCTACAAAGCTAACCTCGATGTTAAATCAGGCAGTTGACTTTTGCACGCGATCAAATCGAAATCAAATCAAACATCGAAAACGTCAAACGGACTTCTTGAATAGTGTCGATTCATGCTGAAATGTCACAGAAATATAAATAAAGTGTAGAATAGAAAATACTGCAAAATAATGTTATATATTACATGTTATTACAACTTATTTGATTAAAAATAGATCTACGGATTATTTTAATGTGCTTTTTTTTTCGTTAAATGAATTTCTGGTATATTTATATGGCCCATATTAACATATAAATATATGCCCAAATAAATAACAAGATTCTTTATTGTAGCTGTAAAATAATAGTTGTAATTAGAGAGAATGTCTGCAAAGGTAGAAAAGAGATCCCTCTTAAATCCCTTCCATCAACTATGATATTTTAAAGAATACTGATGACCAAACAAAACCCTCTAAAATGAATTACAAGAATCTTTATTGTTGTTCAAAATAATAAAAGTATTTAAATCAATATCTGTAAAGGTAGAAAAGAGATCCTACTTACATCTCTTCCAATCGTCATAGGACAGCGAGATATAGAAAGTAACGAGCAAACAATAATGTAGACAAAAAATAACAGTAAGCAATAGCCTTCATATTGACCTACTGAGAAAAGAAAATCCAACTGGATATCGTTTAGTAAATAGATTCGTATTTTCAGTTCAATTTTGTCACCTACTTAAATACGTAATGCGGATGATTCGGATCATAGTATATAACTACATTATTCGTATATATGAAACAGAGAGTATAAATATATTTAAAATGGAACTATTTAAATACGGTAATGGAATGTCGTTACTATTTTAAGGGTAATGATTTATTTTAATATATTGTTATTTTAGTTTAATTTTTTTTTTCATCCTTTAATTTCCTCATGAAATTTAATGTACCTAACTAGAACCCGGGCATTATTTCTAGGATTAATATTTTCTACAATAATGCAAAATCAAACCTCCTTACATAAGGCATATTTATTTTACACCTATACCTACTTAAAAAGTTCCAACAGTATATCTCACAATATTATTTTTATATTAGATATATTGCTCAGCATAACTCGCGTTGAATACCAACATAGACAAAAAAATTAAAAACTGTCGAGTATTTTCTAACTTTATCTATTACAAACAAATCTATGCTGTTCATAATCTTAGTTAACTATACCAACAGATTTTTACGCAATATAAATATCTAGTTGTAGTACTTGCTATTCTAATATACAAATAAATCACTTCCAATTCATCTAGGCCAAAGCTATTGTTGAGTGTTACGTACACGCGAGAATTCCATGAATATTTTATTATTTCCTTTACACGGCAGGCTTAGGTAATTTTTCTAATAACTACAACATTCTTTCAGAATGTATTCAGCAATTTACTCACGCTTACGGTCATATTTGAAAGAGTGGCAAATGTTTTTTTGATTAATGTTCGTGTTACACTAATGTGATTCTTTTTTAGAAAGTAATTGATTAATTTAGTCTAATGTTTTTTATTAGATTGAGATATGATTTATTTAATTGCATTTGTTTATTTTAATGTACATTATTACTAACAAATTGTGAATAAATACCAGATTAATGATAGTAGACGACACTTGTATATTTCAAACAATTTTATTAACGAAATTGTATTTCGTTGTTTCAGACAAAACGCAGTATTTCAACATTCCTAAATCATGGAGATGCCTTCAAAACTTCTAACACAGTCTAAGCACTGCCAACGAATACAAAGCGATAGCTATGTATACAGTTGAACCAAAGATGGTTAAATAGAATTAAAGACTGTTAAGTGATAAAATGAGCTTATAAGTTAAGTTGATGTCAACAGATAGGGAGAGGATGCCTTACTACGGGTACCGGGAAGGGGACGGGTCGGACTCAAGTGGGGGGTGTTCAGAGTCCGATGGGGGCGAGTCGGACTCTGAAGGGGGGTTGAGTACCGAGAGTACGGCGGGGCAAGGTCTGCCGTACCCCGGGTTCACCCCCGTCGCCCTTCGGTATCTGACGCAAGAGACAAGGCCAAGAAGTTGGTGCTTGAAACTCATCACCAATCCATATCCTTTTCAATACATTGTACATTTTCCGGTATGTATGTATAATTTAAAATAATTGGCAGGTATTCATTACCATTTCTATCATTTAAATTATTATTAATTAAATATTATGCCTTTTTAACTCTTCGTGGCACTGAATTAGTACGAATTAAACACAATAGTTTTTAGTAGGAAAACTCCTTGGAGTCAATAGGAAACATTACGGGCAATGTGGTAGAAGTTCCCATTATTAATCAAATTTATTATTATAAATAATTTTATTATATAATTATTTTAGATATCTCTACCATAATTTTTTGGCAGATAAGATACTCGTAGTATGTGGCATGTCTAATATAAACTATAAATATACTAGAAATTAAGTGCATGGCCTTAAAAGTCATCAAGGAAAAAAAAATATTCCTCTATAGTTAATGTTTTAGGTGTTAATAAATTAATTTCATCTCCATCAGTAGTCATACCATTGTTTTAATTAAACAGTAAACTTTAAAGCAACAATGTACAAGTAACGTTTTGATGACATTCAAATCCGTACTAGAATTTAGACCACGTATCTCTCTACGAAACTGCATCAAGATCTCTCAACATTACGTTTAAAATGTAACGTAAGAGACAGATTTGCATTAATATAGGTAAAGTTTAATTAAGTTTCGACTTCAGACCGATTCTTATCAAAATTAAGGTTATAAGATAATAATAACTGGAAATAACTTAGTAACGTAATATCTTATACCATCTCATTATATAAAGACAACCCAATAGTCTAGTCACTAAGGCATTACGGAATCCATTACTTATTTCACCTACCACATTATTCACGTTGTTACACAAACTCTACCGTGGATAAAAATGTTTTATTTTTTATTCGCAGTTGGAATTTGTATTTATTTATTATTTATGAAATTATACCAACTGCCTGTTTCATAAATTTGTATTACAATATTATAAATTACAGAATACACTTATGATACGGTATTTTTAAAGTATTAAATTGGTAAAACTTTAAATTAAAGTACCCATTAGTTTACGAGAATACTTAGCGGTATCTATGAAGTGGAAAGGTTTTATAAACAATATTTATTGGAATGTATAGTTCATGTTTATATGTTTGTCCAATAACAAGACATGTAGAAAGAGTTTTAGTTAAAATTACGAATATAACGAGTTATTATCATCCTTAGTAAGGTAATGGGTCACACTGGCGATACTTAGATTAGAAATGATATCCACTACTATTTACCGTACTATGATTATTTACATTATGCAACTGACCACATCACTCGATTCCTATTAAATAATTATATACAATTCTGCTCTTACTGAATCAAAGACTAAAAGTAAGCTTATAAATAATTAAATACCTACACGAGTGATGTTGTGTACAACGTACATGCACAGACGATGTTATTTTATTTATGTTTACGTCGGCTAGCTAAAATTATCTTTCAAACTATTTACATAAAATCTGAATGCAAGTCAATCATAGTGTTGATAAATAAATATACTCCTGTGATGTTGAGTCGCGTAGACATTTTTATATTTCGAGATTATGAGCTGACGGTAATTAAAGTAGATATATTAACATAATAATTATTTATTTTATAGTTTGCATTCACGATTACGTCTATCCTAAAGATCATTTAACCATTGGGGAATTTATGTATAATAGAGCGACACTTTTGATAATAGTAATTAGACATAAAAATTCACAAATTGCCATCTACCACCATTTGGTATGGATGGATCTAAAGAAGAGATGCATTTACAAACAGTTACCACACTCACCAGGTAGTATCGAAGCACTTAATTCTGCTTTGTTCCTCAAGTTCCTCTGTTCTCTCTTAAAAACTCACTGTATTTTTAATCTGTTTCTATAGCACTCACGCCTTACTAGAACCGCTAAATTCTATTTGTTATAAAGGAATTAACTAAAGCATGGCCCATTATCTCATTTCCACATGTCTAAGAAAATTTAACACTCATTATGATATTGAAATTACATTGAAATGTGAAACATCTTATCCATGAGTACCATCAAAAATTTTAAGTGAACAACTTGTTCTTTAAGGTAGAAATTAATAAACGTGGAACGAGAATTTCAAATATATCTATACTGCCTGTTATTCTAAGAGAGCCTTTGAAAATTACAATACATTAACATATTTTTTTATTATACCATTTTTATTGCCTTTCTTTATTTTCTCACCCTAAATTCAGTCCACGTTAATATTATAGATAGAAAGGTACATTTCTTATAGTGTACTGAATTTTTCAGAAAATGTATATACCTACATATATATATATATAGTAGTAAGGAAATATGAATACTCAGAATTGTAAATAACTAATAGTGTTTATAATGTTAAAAACGCAAATAGTTTTTGTAAAATCTTACAAAAATGTAATTTTCCGTTGGATTCACGTCCTGGGAAATATTATTCTATGTAGATATTGTAAACCTTTTTACGGTAGGAATAAATCTATCAAAGACTCCACACACACCGAGGCACAGGGTAGGATGTGAGGTATTTTTACCAACAAAAAACCAAACGGTATTCTCGGCGCCTCAGCCGAAGTAAAGCAATCGCGTTAGCATTCTGTCTTATGCGATATTGTAAGCATATTCTTTATTTGTAATTATTTTTACAAATTATCATGGCAGTCATATCAATGTGACAAAGATTGAGTTTGTACGACATGTGAATAATTGAAACTGCAGGCATCAAAGCTTTGACGCTTCTATCAATATGGCATCACTGCGCAGGTCTCTAAATTGCACATGTAAATTTATTAATAGACACCCGCATAATCTGTGTGAATCCAGCAAAGCACAATATTAGAGCTGAAGGCTGGTTTATGATAGTTTAACCTGTAGAATTATGCAAGTATCTTGTGCATACACAGAATTCGATGCTAATATCTGGTTGTACAGTTCATATAGAAGTTTGAGAGTTTCGTCAAATCTAACTTTACCAAGACCAATGTTTTACTTTGTATTATTACTAACATAAATACAAATACTTACATCAGGGTTTATGTATCCAATTTACTAAGTGCCATATATAGTCTGGAATAAAATTATTTTAAAACTCTTGCTACATACTAGCGTCGTAACTCTTCCAGCTATAACCACCATTTCAAGGACTCTCCTAACATTTATAATTTCGTCACATGACTAACATTGCATGCCTTATTCACAAAGAGTCATGCATTATAAACACAAATATTTTTTATATAATTATACTCTGAACTATATTATAAAAATATAGAAAACAAGATTAGCAAACCTCATATGTTCGTATAGAACATGTCTTTATTGCATGAGTGTGACTGAGTACAACCATTTTAATCATATTTGTTACAACATTCTTGTACTTTATATCAAAATAAAACAATCTTTCAAGACAATCAGCTTAAAGCTTACACCATCCATCAGTTTATTGTAATTATGCATCTTACGTTTCACTGTCGTTTGTTTAAATGTTTATCACACTCCGGCAGTAAATTAACAAGATTTACTCCATTTGCACTCCATAAACACATAATTATGCAAATTGAAATGTATAAACGGTCGACAGCACGCGACGTCAACACTGGGATCTAATTTCGTGCAATCTTTACTGTAACAAGAGAAAACTTAGTAAATTGAATGAGGCCTGAAATCGGATTACTTCAATTAAATGCGGCTCCATGACATTTCGCTTCTGGGACAATTATATTTCGTTTAACCAAATTCTGGCATTTATCAATTTAACTTTTATTCGATTACCAGCTATTACTCGCAATTTCGTCTACAATTTTGAAATGACAGATAGACCGTATATATGATAGGACAGATATGCCCGTTGTCGTTATACATACTATATTTTTTTTATTTAATTTCGAATTGATATTAAGCGGAAGCCGTCGCCTATATACATGAACAGCACTACAGATGTCTTGTTATCATGTTAGACTCATTATTTGGCATTCTAGAGGACTAAAATGTTATGCCCCTTATACAACTAAACGTCAAATTTAACGTATACGTAAAATTACGTTATTGTCCATTATAGAATTTAATAATCATCAGGTAATCGACAGGAAGACATACGTACACACTTTTTAATTTATTGTATGGGTATGTATTTGTTTTAACAAATACATTTTTAAAAACAAGGCATTTTTATCATGTATCGGGAGCACTTACATATATCAACTAAGTGATATTCTCACGATAGAAATGTCGAGACCTAGTAGATCTACTACTATCTTCATTTATGAGGATTGAAGTTTATTCGATTATAAATACTCTGGTTTAAATTGAAATATTATGAACATTAAATACTTTTTATCTTAACTACTAAAACTTGTAATTCTCTAATTATGAAAAATATCATGTATGTATATATAGCATTAGGGTAACTGATCACGTTAGACTCGAGTATTCCCGATGATATATAGGCATGTTCAGTGGTATACACCACATTGTAAACAATCAACTAAATAACATCTAATTCTTATTATTAATCTACCTAGTTCACTAGTACATATTATCAGGAGATATTTGAGTATAATTGTAATATAATTTTCATTAGTTATATCAGGTAGAAATACGATAGTATGATATAATATAGCGAAACATGTCTAATTTTCTCCGGATTACAGAATTCTAAACATGCAACATGAACGTCTAATCAAAACCACGTATCGTGATACCATACAATCTTTATTGAGCAATCGAGTCTAGATTACACTCCCACTTCTACTGAAATTGGAAACCGAGGAAGATACGACTATAATGTAGTACATATTTGTATATATGCTCTACACGATCACGTTTCTAATATGTTAGGAGATATGCATGTGGGGATGTGAAAATAGGATTGCTAAAAACATACAATTGAAATTGACTTTTTATACAATACAACCTGTATTCAATAAAGTCTGTCTACAAAGGTAGTCCATATATTCTTCTTGTGGCAATCTGTGTAAACCATTGTAATCATTTTAATACTTTT